TATGTAAAACTAGAGCAAGCAAAGAAGATGTACTTTTTGTTTCCCATGACTTTAAGTATGTTTTATTATTTTTTTATTCTAGGTTTCTATAATTCACCACTTGATGCATTTTATTTACTATTAGATATAATATATCTAATCTATTCAAATCTCAAATTGTCCACAATACAATACAGTACAATACAAACACTTGTATGATATATACATGCTATTGTGCATGTTTGTACAGTTTAGAGAGTCAAGAATACAACAGTACCTGCATGTTAAGTAAACGTCAGTCAGTCAGAAATATGATACATTTGGTTATTCTTTCTTTTGGTGTCCTAGAACTGTATAAAGTCTGTCATTTTGGTTGTACCTTGTATAAATTATAAAACAGTGGAGCCAATACAAACTATGAAATGTTTATCTCCTGTTGAATGCAATACCATTCACATCCAGATATATATGCACAGTTGAATTAAATCATCTTTTGTTTTCATCTATTGACTTTCTTTTAAATGTTAGATAGTGCTTTGGAGATGGTATTTCCTGTTGCCTATTTTGATTTATTTTTTATTAGATAAATTGTCAAACTGACAAGATAGCCTTGTCTGACGGACATTTTCTAATTTAGCCTGTTAAAGAAAAGATTACATTGTCTTGCAGAAAGAAGTTGATATACTCACTGTAAATCTATTTAATAAATATGGCAAGTATGTTTCAAATATGTCCATTATTAGGCTAAATTGCAATCCTAAATGTGATCTCATAATGTCTAGTTAAATAATTTATTATTTTTTTTATCATTGCTAACATTTGGCTTAATAGTGCATAAATTATTATATTCTATTTTTTTTCTAGATATCAGCTATTACCATTTCCATATAAAAGAAACAGTTCCCAGGCAGAATTATGAAAATTACAGTTTATGTGCTGGCATATTTATCATTTCACTGACAATCTATTTCACCCAGCTAAACATTGCTAGATAGTCAAGCAGGCTATATCAGGATTTGTTCCACTGTATTAGCATAATATACTTATCATATTGTTTATTCCCCGAAGTAACGTAAAAATAGGACACATTATAAATCATGACACTCCATAACTATTTGTATTTCTTAAAGGGTTTTAAAATAATTTGACTATTGCACAAAACATTGTTTATTGCTTTTGCACTATCAATCACACACATAATAGTTTTTTTTAACAAATACCTTTATTGTTGTATTTAAAACTGAAATTGGGAGTTAGGAGGACATTACATTAACTACATTATTATATTTAACCTTATATAATTGCCATTGTATACTGCAATGTTGATACATTTGTATTATGTGCATATCATTGTGACTAAGACAAATATTCTCCATGAGTTATTTCCAGAAAAAATGCCCTGGCCCTATTTCCGTGTAACAGAAAAAAAGTGTTCTTTGCTTATTGGTTTTGTTTATTGCATTACACAATGATACTGAACACTTAGAGTAAATAAATCTAAATGTCACCTATAGAATATAATGCTAATAAGTATGCAATCTTCTTGCAAACACTTGAAAATATACCTTTCATAAAAAAACATCCCTGTTTCAGTCCTTAAACTGGTTCCTCTCTGTCTACCTCATCTGACCATAATGCCTTACCAGTTATACCTGATAGCCAGCTATCACTGTATATAGAGAAATGAAGCCCCTATTGATGAAAAAAAAAAAAATGGTTACTTAGAAATACAAATAACAATAATAACCCAAGCAATAAGGCCAAGCTAGACAACAGTTATGCACAGATTGTTATTCTGAAATATGTCCCAATGTAGGGGTTTAACCCAGGGTTATCTTAACGTATAGGGGTTCTGGGCAATTGCCTGGGGGCCCCACGTGCATAGGTGCCCCATATGCTTGCTAACCTTTCAATATATTATTCTGGGAGATTTATTCAAAATCTTCAGCCCCTGTTTATTAAAACATTTAGGTGGTCTATAAACCTCAGTTTAAAC